CCCCTCCTCCTCGCCATTTACAAACATTTCATTTCCACTTTTTCATTTTCTCCTATTTTTTCTTGCCCTTATTCCCTTTCCCCCATCCTTCCCACTTTCCCTACACCTTTATCCCTTTTCTTCCTATTACACATTGTCAAAATGTCTAAATTTTAAAAATATTTTTAAATTTAAAAAATACTGATGTGACATTTCCATTTTCATTCAGTCTTCATGTCAGTAAGCTTTCTCAGACATTTCACATTTCTGGGTTTAATTCTGGGCTTTTTGGATCAAATCACTAGCATCTCCCCTAAGCGGTTCTATTTTTATGTCTAGAATCTATAGGTCTATCTTTATGTCTAGAATCGTAGCCTATGATTTTAAAACAATAACCAAACACCCCCCAAAAAACTCTCAAAGACACATTATTATAGCTGATCACTAATCATGTATCCCCCTATGTATCCAGCAGGTTTTCTCTTTTATGTCACACAAAGTCCGAGTGCTAACTCTGTCCTCTGGCAGGGTAGCTGTCCTACTGTTTATTGCTTCTTCTTCCCTTCACTATTCTATCACCAATTACAATGTCCACAAGGGATTCTATCCCACAAGGGTCTGTTACTACAGATCAAATACATGTAACAGCTGTTTATTTGGAGAAAAACAGTGCAATGAACACATGGTACAGAAAGATGGTAGCTTTGTTATCTTTTTATTTACAATAAATCAGTCAACCTCTTTAAGTTTTCAATTTTGCAAGTATGGCAAATGGCTGTATTTTTTCCCCTAAACTCCATTGCAGTAGAAATTACTGAAATGTCACCAAGAGTCTCAGACCGCACATAACACAGGTCACGTGCTCAGCATTAGCTCCTTACTATGTGTCAGGCACTACTCTAGAGACTTTACATACTTTATCTCATTCATTATACATTATAACTCCCTGATGTACATGGACTTACTAGGTGCCATAGCTATGATTTAAGCCCAGACCTGCCTGAAACTATCTTCCCACTAATTTACACTGAGAATGAGTGAGAAGAATACAGTGGCACAGAAAGAAAGGATAATACAATCAAACACCCTCAATTATAAATTCACTAAACAAACATCCATTGAGTACTTAGTAATGGCTTGGCATAGTGTCTACTCATAAGACAAGTATCTTGTCCTAGAAAGTTAATTTTGGCTTACAGAAGTAGACTCCAGCAAACAACTGTGGGATCCACCACCAGTGCAATCCTCAACATGTGTGGAAGGGTTAAACCCTCAAGGAGAGAGAATATGGCTCTGTCGAGGAGACTAGGGAAGGCTTCCCAGATAAGAGGTCTTTTGATGAAAAATGAAAGAAATACATGCATGTTCTCAAGTAGACTAAAAGTAGAAAGTTACAGCAGGCAGAAGGCAAGGAAGGGTAGCATCAAAGAAGTGTGGCAGATGGAGGGATATTATTATGATTTATATCTAAAATATCCCCCAAAGTCTCATGTGTGCCGAGATGGGACTTTGGGGATGTGATTGGATCACAAGGATACTATACTCATTACTGGATTAATGTGCTGTTAAGAGTAAGGCCTGAGTGGTGGAAGGGGTCACTAAGATGTGACCCAGACAGGCGTAGTCCCGTCTCTGGCTCCTCCCTTCTCTCACTGCTTCCTAGCCATCATGGGCGGAGAGGCCTCCCCATCCCACCATGCCCCTCCACCAGGCTGTTCCTACCGTGGAACCAGCCAGCCATGGATGGAACCCTCTGAGACTTTGAACCCAAGTAAACTTTTCCTCCTTTAGTTTCGAGTATTGAGTATTTTAACTCAACAACGGGAAAGTGACTAAAACTTATGCTTAGGGAATTGAATTCTTCAGTGGTCTTCAGAAGAGTGTGTACATTGATAGGATAGGATCAAATGAGGAAGTATCTTTCACACCATGGTGGGATCAGGCATCAGGAAAGGGAATAAGAAGGAAGAAGCATCACAGGAGGAGAGGCTGATGAGGAAATAGGGGAAATGGAGCTGACAGAAGGACTACTCTGTGTAGCTTAATATATGAGGTTATCATAAGCCATCAAATCATATTAATTGGTTTTTCAGGTGCTTTTTATCATGACTATGGATTATGGTAATTTTGGTTCTTTTTATGACTATGGAGTATGATAATTACGATAAAAAGAAGAGTGACAGACACAGGCATAATGATGGTCTTTAATTATTAGAGTCCTAGGGTCCAAGGAAATAAAAGAATAGCCTGAGAGAACCAGGATAAAGCATTTCTGAGCTGTAGACAGCTGCTGATATAAAAGACACAAAGACAGATGGGCTATTTTATTGTCCTCCTGGCATTGCTGGGGCTGGGTATCAAGCAAAATGCAGAAGGATCAAAAGAGAAGACAAGATGATAACATTGTTACTTCTATCTTAAAAAAATCTTCAAAAGTAATCAAATGCTTCAAGTGAAGCAATCTAAAAGCATCTTTGAATTGGCAATATGTCAATCACTATAATATAATTTGAAAAAATATTCTGATGGCCAAGCACAGTTAAATATTATTGGGATTTGGGATTCTATTTCATTGCTTCTTGGACTGATACATTTTCTCTTGGGTGAAAAGATATATAATGTCAGTCAAGCTTTTCTTAATCTGGTGGCATAAGAACAAATTCAACAACAACCTATGCCTTTAAACTGTCAGCTCTCAACTCTTACTGTAATGTTTCCCTATACATGAGACACGGGATTTCAAGGAAGGGAAAGATGATTTTGTATCCTAAATTTGTCACGCAATGCTTCTCAATAATATATCTCCACTACAGAACATATCACTATAGCATCAGAATAAGCTTAATAGCTGTGATTTTGTATTCTATGAAACAAAATTTCTAGTGGAATGAGTAAAAGATATTGCTCATTACAGCTGATAATTAGACTTTGTACAGCTGCCACTAAATTTTCAGAGCAATTTTTAACTTTTGGTTTGCCATTTCTTTCTCCTCTGAAAATGGGTCATTCCCAGTACATGTAGTTCAAATGGAGGGGGAAATACTTGGAGCATATCAGACGGTTTCCAGGCAACTAGTCTAGAGGGCAGCAGCATCCCAAAAGCCACTATGAAGTTAAAGGTGGAGAACCTAGACTCTGGCATCAAATACACTTGGGTTCAAGGTGCAGCTTTATATCTTAATAATCCTGAAACAGGATGTATGCAAAACACAGCTCAATGCCTGGTACACAAATGACACTCAGTGCATTCATCATATTGCTGGCATTGCTCTAAAATGATTTCTGTAAATATTAAAGAGAAAAGCCAGAACCTAAGTACAGCAGGGCTCCTCACTTCAAGGGCACAATTGATATTCCATCTTCCCATCAAATGGAGTAAATTTCTCTGCCACCTTCTCATGAATATTGAGAGCTACAAACTTGCCTGAAATGGTGACTAGTTCAGGAAATCAACATCTTATATGTCAATTTTTAGGGCCCATTTTTTATTATTCTTTATAAGGAGGTCTGAAAATTAGATTAATAAATAGAAACCATAGTATGTTCTTACCATTTTTGTCAGCTCTCCTCAGTATCTGGAAAGAAAAGAGAAAAAATATTTTATCACATTTTTGGTAAATATTACAGTGAACATCAGGCTTATGCATAATTCATCTATTATTAAACAAAAGAAATCCATTTTAAGTAAATGTTTTCCAACTGAGATTTTCATTTATAATAGCCCAAACCTGAAAACAATCTCAATATGTATCAATAGGTAAAATAATAAATGAAATGTGGCACATACATCTGATGGGTTAATAGTAGACAAGATAAGGAGATAGACATTTATACATGTAAAAACTTGGATGGAAGTTAAAGTAGTTGGTCTGAGTAGAAAGCCCTGTCACAAAATAATATCTACTGTAATGGAAGTGGATGGGTATGAACAAAATGTATTATATACTTTGAAATTCCCCAAACATGTGAAATGGTTGTGGGGGAGGAGAAAGAAAGGAAAAAAGGTTAATAGATAGATAGATAGACAGACAGACAGAAAACCATCTGGACAATATACTACATAGACAAGTTGTATATTGTACCAAGGAAAATGTCCCTCCACTACATTGTACAAACTTTGATCACTTGTAAAAGGCCCTTAAGGGTCATTTCTTTCTGAGTAACCTGCAATCACAGCTATTCTTATACTTAGACCAGAACTTCTTGGTGGTCACCTGAAAACATGAGCATTAGTTTTTATTCCTAAATCATGTGTTTCACTGATTTATACTATGGGAACATTATTATCCTTTCATTCAGTTACCTTCACAGAAATCTGGTATAGATAAATCTATGTCACCACTACTATGCTTCTGTTGTAAAATACACCCAAGTACTTTTCTCAGGAATAGATAGGTATCACCCTGACCAGTGTGCAAAAGAAGTTGGTTCTTCTTTTTACTACATTGATTTAATTATTGCAAGAGGACTAACTTCAACAGGAAGAGCTACACTAAGAACAGAATGATACCCAGATTCTTTCCACTCCATAGAAGTAATTGCTAGTAGGAGCTTTGGGAATCCCTCCAACATGATCAGCTTTTTTCCTCTCCCCTAAAGCTATAAAGCCCCAGCTGAGTCAGGAAGACACGGGTCATGGATCACATCCTCTCTCTTACCTATGATACACTGTAAGACTCTATTTCAAGTTCTATGGTGGCCTCATGGGTTCCAAGTGACTAGAATAGAAATAATCACACACCAGAGACTTAGACCAAGGACTTCCATTATTTCATTTCATAAAGAACAATCATAAGTAACATTTGGTCTCTTAAAGATGACATTAAGACAATACTGTGTTATTAAGAATGTTCTTGTAATCAAATATGAACAGAACAATCTCTACTGCAAATTTTGCCTCTGAGCCCACAAACTAATAAAAAATGTATTGCAGATGAGAACCGAGTTCATTATGTTGTTTGAGCACCGTCATCTGGGTCAGCTAATCTTATTGTTACTATCACTAGAGGCATTGAAAGTACATTTATATATTACAACCAGGTTTAAAGCTTTAAAAAGTAATATTGTGTGTTTGCTACAATTCAAGGATTAGCAAGCAGATTATTTTACCTGGGATGATGCTATTTGATCACTTTGACTGAAATTCATTCTTCACTTTACGTTACTAATGGCTGATGTCAAAATATACACATATCTTGAGAGCATGAAAGTGGACACAATCACCACTCACTGAACTAATATTTGCTAAGTGTCTTATACCATATAGCAGGTTAATTTCATATGGGATGGGCTAGTGAGTCACACAGTGTCCTCTTGAGAAACTGGGATGTAGGACAAAGAGTAGGGAATCATGCCAAACACGGAATGCCCCCAGAATGGAGGATGTAGGAGGCAAATCATGCTGTGTGGCTTTGGACATCCAGGAAATAGTTTGTGCTCCAAGATTCTAGTGGCCCTGAGTAGGAAGCAGAGAAGTGGGAACTGGAGGATGGACGGAGAAAAGGTAATTAGCACATATGCTTGCTTTTTCTCAATTTTGTCCCGATAGGGCCAGTTTGGAAAACAAGGTAAATGTTATCATTGTTCACCCTAATTTTTCTTACCAATTAGAGTAGACTGTGATGATGTTACCTCTATTCTCTCAACTGTACTACCTCACTCAAATAATCAACTGTGCCTCGTGACTAGGTGAGACAGATACTCGGCCGTTGCAGAATTTTGTCGTGCAACAGTGGTGTTGGAAAACTGCTCTGATCGTCCCCCATCCAGCTCAGTTCTCACTCAGATGGGTACCTGAAGGGCTTCAGAATTAAGTATTCTTCTGAGGAGAAACTATTACTTATTTTACCAAGTTCTTAACCAACAGGCCCTTGAGTTCAGGGTACACATGGCTGTGCGTGCTGAGGTAGGGGAAGGAAGGGAAGACAAACACTTAAAGTCACCTCTCCCCTTCCCAACCTTCCAGCCTTTGACCACTTAACCAGTGACATGGGGAAGGGCCATCTTCCTTCCAATTAAAAGTCAAGGGAGAACTGTTGAAGAGGAAAGTGACATTGTATGGGCAGAGTTGCAACTGCTTTCATTTGGGATTTCTTTTGCTTTGAGGGATGATTTTAGGCTTGCCTCATCCTTTTGCACAATATCAAAGTTGCTTAATGTGATGGTTCAAAGGAGGGTTCACATATTTCAGGGACTAGTGCTCTAAATAAGAGTTTATTTTCTGTTATTTGGAAGATAGCAACCTGGGAATGATACTATACCAGTGGAAGCAGGAAAACAATTGTCATCCTCATGGTGCTTCTTTGTGGCTGCACAGTGGACTCTCCTTGGCCATTTCTGTGGCTGGCACAATGTGGACCTTCACACATTAGCCTCAGCCCAGCAGGTGTTCAAGAGTATTTGTGATAAATCAATAATTAATTCTGTCATTTTTAAAGCAAAATAATGCAAATTACACTTCCAAAAAAACGGTTTTTATATTAGTTTGTGGATTTAGCTACTGTTTATGTATTCAACATGGAGCATTAACATCACCTTAATACCTCAAATTTACACAGTATAGATCCCCCCCATTTTCCTAAACTATGTGATCTTTTTTCATACAAACACATTGGGAATGGGAAGTATCTGACTTATCTCAATTATTATTGCTGATTTAGAGAGAAAGAAAATAAAGCAAATGTCAACAATTGTGCTTGATCTTTCTGGTTTTCTTATTAAATATCTGTCTCCAGTTTCTCACCAACTGGACACATCTTGTCATGCAATAATAATATTCACAACAGCAGTTTAAATCATTTCTTAGAAGATTGATTATTGTATTGCTATTCAAATATAAACACTAGAAATTAGTTTTCCTCAAATTTGGAAATTATTCTGTGTAAGACAGAAGCTCTCAATGGTTTCCTTTCTGTTCTAGTTTGAAAGATAACATCTATCATTTATGTATTACAATCTGGGTAGAATTTAAAAAGCAATCTTTCTTAGCAGTGTTACTAGAATATATTAAACCTAATCAAATAAAATGATATATTTATATTTCACATTTTATTTTGCTAAAAGCAACATGATGTGGAAATGAATAATTCAAAAATCCCAAATAAAAAATCCTTTTTCATGTCACATATTTCACCAGAGAGTTGGATCTTTCACAATATAACTCCAAAAATGTGCAAACAAAACCTTTTCTATTTGAGAGAAAAATCCAACAGCAGTTATTTTTTTTGGTAGACTCTAGCATTTTAATGATAAACAAGCATATCAACACCTTTCATGTAGAATCAGTTTCCTATTTTTATTTTTAAATTCTAGAAACAGATCTAAGAAGGTAAGGATTCATAGATGAAAATTTCCTTCAGGACAAGGACCTGATGCTGTTTGTTTATAGAACTTGAAAATAACTGTGCATATATGATAATAAATGAAATTTTACTTTCCTCTTAAAAAAAAAAACAAGCACAGTTGAACACTTGAGCCAAGGTTGGTATGTGTGCCAAGGAAGCTGACTTTCCATTTTCATAGTTATAATCCACCTCCATAATATCACCAAAATGTGTTAACTGCTTAAAAAATAAATCTCAAGGAAGCAGTTGATACCCTTGGGGGTCAGAGTACAGAGCAGGTCAGAAGGCTGGAGGTCCCACTTGTCGCAGAATCCACTACTTGGCAACTTAGCAGTCAGCCTCCCAATTGCATGGTTTTTAAGGGCCCCTACTGAGGGTTTCCTTGTCGGGTGTGTCTTCTTACCTCTCCCGGCTTCCAGTTCACTTACCCAGAGGCTTTATGGACAAAGGGAACAATCAGCCAGTGAAAACATTAGGACCAGTAACATTACCTGAATACTTTGAATCAAGCAGAGACAAATGCTCAACAAGAATACAGTACTTAAGCATCTGATGCATAGGAAATCAGACACTTAGGCTTTGGTGGGAAGAAGATGGCTGGCCCAAATGCTTGGGTACCCAGTTGGATCTGCATGGTGAGAAGGGGGAATGTTTCTAGGCATATGATTGAGCCTTCTCTCCTTCCTGTGTCTTCAGTCACTTTTAATTATCAACAGGAGTTTTCCTATCAACTAAAAAATTCTAGTTAATCCACTCAAAATAGACAAGGAGTTTCCTTGCCTCTCCTCCCATTATCGTCATCATTTTTGTCTCATGTTTATGATGCTAATAATTTGATTTCTGCACATATATTCATCTTTCCACACATAAATGTATTTGGCCTCTGGCCCACCTCCAACTCACTTGGATTTTAATAAGAAATGATAGCTCAAAAGGCTAAGGGAAAGCACACACAACACTCCTAGTACCCTTTGTCCATTTTCTATCGTGATAAACAAGTAGCAGCTAGAGAGTCCCCACTGAGTCAGACATCACTACCTGGGGCACAGAATGGATATGACAACACAGGAGCTAAGAGAGCTGGAGCCCAGGCTGGCAACAGAGAATCAGGAAAACCACAAAACCCGAACAGGCAGCTAAAAGAGCTGGGTAGCAGGATGAAAAACACAGAGAACAGAAACAGCAGGAAGAAAAAGTGAAATAAAATTGAGAAATCAATAAAAACTAAGATTGTTATAAAGACAGAATCCACGGCATGAAGGCAGAGAAATAGCACAGAAGAGAAAGACAGCAAGACCATATCAGAGAAATGAAGGAAGTCAATTCCGAAGCAAGGGGTAGTTGCGGGGGGCAGTCAAAAGCTAGAATTGAAAATAATAATAGTAATTACAACTTGGACCGGTACAAGGAAGGAGAATAACAGGGAAGGGGAAAAAAGAAAACCAGAAGTAGCAGTGAAAAAAGAACCATCATAAAAGATCGTGACCACCACTGTAACAGGAAAAACAAAGGTGTTCCAAGTAATTGTTTTCTGAGAGCTGGGGAGGGGCGGCGGGGCAGGCCATCTCCAACGCTCCACTCCCTGCCCTGGAGACCAGCGAGATCGCCCGTAGGCAAAGGGACGCCACAGGGATGAGCAGGGACACCACACCTTCCACAGTACCACCCGAATGGAAACCCCGAGCTGTTGGGAAATCTAATTTACGAATGTCCTTAAGAGCAACTAATCCGGAGCAGCAGGTCTAGGACAGCCCTTTCACAAGTTGAGCGAGTCTTTTCCGTAGTTTTTTGCCTTTGTGGTTGTCTGGGGGTTAGGGGACAAGGAGAGGTTTGCATCTTTGCCTGGGGACTAACCCTGGCTGGGCAGCACTGAGTCGGGACCCCTTCTCCAGGGAAGAGGAGCGCAGCTGGGAAGCTCCCAACTCCTGCCCTCTGTACTTACGTCGAGGAAGATCGACATGCCCTTGGACAGCTGCAGCGCAGAGCTGAGCTCTTGCGAGGAGTTGGAGGACGGCGACGTCTCCCGGGACTCCTCCATCCTCCGGAGCAGGACGGCGCTGGAGGACGCACCTGACGAGACCCAGTTGCTGCCGAGGGCTGGGGACCGGGACTGGCGCGCACTCGCTCCAGAGCCTCCTCTCGCCGCGCGCCTGCGCTCGCTCCCGATCCCTCTCACCGCCCCCTTCCGCGGTGGACGCGCCTGAACGGACTCCTCCCTGCACTTAGCAACAAGCAAGCGCCCTCCGCGGGGGACAGGCTCTGACCCAGGGCACAGTCACACGCCGGAGAGGACCGTGGGCACCCTGCCTGCCCATCCCACCACGGTCTCACCTGCCTGAGGGGAAGACTGAGGTCGTCCCCACGGAGAGGGGGCGAAGGATGCAAGGGAAGGGAAGTAGACACTTCCCCAGGCTCACCCCACAATGGAAAACCTGAACACAGAGATTCCGAGAAGTTTTGCCTATTTTGCTTTTGGCCTTATTTTGGCCCAAGCTGGGCTCTCTATCTTACCCTCCAAAGGCAGGTGGATTCCTGTGAATCACAAAGGCAGAAGCGCTCCTTCTGCCTAGCAATTAAGACTTGAGTTCTATACCTGTCTTAGACTTCAATATGTTGCCATCTAGCAAGGTGCTAAATATTTAAGCCTTGATTTTTCTAATTAGTAAAATGGTCACAATGGTGGTTTTTGTCATACAGAGTTAGCTGTGGTAGTGCTATCAAGTGTAAGTTACAAAAGGTAAGGAGACGCTGGTTCTCAACCCCTACCTGACCCTGGCATAATCCTGAGATTGGCTACCTTCTTAGGTTTTGCATCCTAGGGTTTCCTTCACTTCACCCACCTTCTATCCCTGCTCTGTAGTCTAGTGCTTATAAAAAACATGTCCGTAGTTCTCAACTCTGGCTGTACACTGGAATCCCCGTGTGTGTGTGTGTGTGTGTGACAACTTTAAAATGTGGCCACAAGTTCCTATGGAGAAGTGTCCCCTATCCAGGTCTGAAAGATTGTACCTGCCAAGGCAAGGTTCACAAGGAGCCTTATAGTTACACCTCTGCCTGTGGAATAGTTAAGTTACTTCCGCAGTCCTGAGCTTCCTTCATAGGAAGTTTTAATGCTTGAGCCACCTCACTTTAAGGAAGCCCACACAGAGTTCTGAGGCAGACATAAGCACCCAGCTGACAGGCACAGCTGGACATAGCTTTTGCTCCCCCTAGTCCAGTGAAGTGTTCTAAGAAGCCTGCAGATGATTCCAGCCCCCAAGTCTTTGAGACTCCTGTAGCCATTTGTGTTGTTGTCTCAACCAAGACTTGGGACATCACAGCAATCAGGATGGACCCCAAGAATTTGGGATCATAATAAAATGTTCATTGTTTTACAAAAATGAAGCTTGGAGATAACAAACCAAGGAGTTTTAAAAACCCACAAAAGTAAAACAATAACATGATAACAAGTTGATTCCCGTGTTTGGCCCTCAGATTCAACTAGCATGTCTGGGAATAGTTTTTGGTTTTTGTTTTTAAAGTTCCCCAAGTGACTGTGATGTGCAGGATTGAGAGCCACTAAATGTGATTATACTGTAGGTACAGTAGAGAGGGGAAAAGTAGAATAAGATATCAGAAGATAGGCAGAGGCCATAGAATGAAGACCTGTGAGGTTCAGTGATTGATAGAACTCTGGGTTTAATTAGTGGAGAGTGAGAGACACTAAATCTGGGAAGCTATTGATTGGGGCTGTGCTTTAAGTAATATTCATCTGACATTTTTGTGTGCTTTTGCCTTATTTACTGCAGATTTCCTTATCTGAACAGCTAAAATAGACCCTTCGCTTTGATAACTGCTCATCAAAAGAAAAAGACTGCCAAGTCATCAAGGATACTGTTCATTCAAATCACTGGAATAAAGAATGTTCCACTGCCTGCCTGGCAAGAGCAAGGTCCCAAATTTGATCCCTGGGGCTGGATGTTTAGCTCAGTGGTGCCACCATCTGCTTTGCAAACGCAAGGACCTCAGTTCGATCCCCTATTACCCACCACCAAACGCAATTTAAGTTATCAAGTTTACAGAAATAACACATTATTTGTTCTTGGAATCATCTGAAGGATTGCATAGATTTTTTTGGCAGCAAGTACAGTTTAAATCCGACCCCGTGAAGCTCTGTAGTTTTCTCTGCCCTTGGATAGAGCACTGTAAGTCCTAATATTTTTATACTAATCCCATGGTAACAAGAAGAAGTAATGAAAACTTCGCTGATTATAAATGAAGAATAGGAGAGTAATCATTAGTTATCATTAAAAACAAGAGAGCTATTTTGTAACATTTCAGTAAAAGCATTTCTTTTCCCTTTACCGACAGTGCAGTACATTTTCTATACCTGCGGCTTTGCTTACTTCCTTTAGTGGTCTATCAAGAAGAAATGTAAATTATTAGACAATCAATTGGTCATTGCTTATTTTTATGGTTTCTGCTGCATGAACTCCATGATGTGCTGACTTCCTTTTATAATGGAAATGCAATGTTCATGGAAGGCTTCACTAGCAATGGATGACAATTAGATTCCCACTCACAGCCAAATTCAATAGCTCTATAAATTGGTAACCAAACATATTTTTGGTTTCCTTTTCATCTAGACAGCACACACTTTTGAAAACTGTTCTCACACATCGTTTTTCTGAAACACAGATGCTATACTGCAGTGTATAGTATCACTTGCAAACAGGAGACAGCAGTCAAGGGAAGACATGTATCTCCTTACCAACTTTACACTGTAGCAAAACCCTGAAAGAAAAAATGTAATTTTATATTCCAGCTCCCAAGCTTCCTAAGATAAGACTTTGATGTGAAGGCATTTCTAGAATTTCAGGTGATGATGGCCATGTGGGAATGTATTGTATTTCAATCCATCTCTGCCTCATGCAGGAACTATTATCTAAACCATTTCAGATAGTCAGGAGTCTATTTTACTTATACTTTATTGGGAGAGCTATCTTTTTGAGCAGTGACTTAGAACCCTTTCAGCCAGGTTAATGGACATTTCTGTTGCTTTGGCAATTTAGGATCCAAAGTCTCTTTCTTTCTGGGGCCCTGTCCTCATGGTGTGTCATGATTAAGAGCAGGACTCACCTCTTTGAGATAAGAATATGGTCCCTGTCCCAGTCCCTGGCAGCTACAATAGAGGCCAAAATTAGGCTCAGCCAATGTGATAGTTCACTTGGGACTTTGAATCCAGGTCAAAGGACAGGAAGGGAAGTTTATTAATGGTAATGGGCACACATGAGGGAATGTCCAAAGGCCACAATGCCAGTGCAGCTCTGCAGACAACTAGTCCAGTTTGATAAACGAACTTTGATCTCACTATCCCTGTCCTTCAAGTACTTCTTCCCAAGAAAGACAGTGACCTTCCACAACTTTAGTTTCTGATTCACTTTACTTGGTTGGCTGTCGACACTTGAACTCTTAATAAAAACTTCAACCTAAATTTCTCTTGGTAAAGTTGGCCATGTGTCGAGTCTTGAAAAAAAAAAAAACTGGATTAAAAAATTAATTCTCTCCAAACATTTGGTGAATGTCTGCTTCCTTCCAGGCGACTGCCAGACATCACTGAGGAAAAGATGAAAAGTCTGATCCTTGGCAGAACATACACAGCTCTAAAAAATACTATTTTAATAGATAATTTTAATCCAGCAAGACAAGAGTAATACCAGAGGTTTGTTGTGAGTGCTACAGGAGGACAGGTGAGGGGACTTCTGTCCCGGTAGTGTCTGTTCTGCCTAACCATTTATGTAACTATAGATGGCAAAATTGGGCTCTGGAGTAGGAAGTCCAATGGATAGAAATTATTAACTAATAATGGCCATTTTTCTATGAGCTATTTTATCCTGAGGATGAATTTTTTCTGTTGTGCCATTGTATGAGTAAAATATATTTAAAATCTACTGGTTTAGAGGTTTTCCATCTTGAAATAACAAGGAATCTTAAGCACCAGTATTCTCCATAGCACCTTCTGTTGCTATAGTTAATGTGCCCCACCTTCTACTTTCTCATGGGCAAATTTTCTTACCTGTAGAATTAAGGATGAAGTATTAAGAGCAAAAGGCTTAATAAACATTAGGCAGAAAGAAAGCGCTCTCCAAAGTCAGCCATTGTCAATCCCACTAGCACCATTTCTTTGCAGCCATTTTGTGTAGATCTGAGAGACTTCACAAGGGGTGCAGTACAGGGTCATGATACAGCAGTCAGTAAGCAGCCAGAAGTCTCTATTACTCTGGCATTATCCCCCTAGGACCCTGTGTACCATCGAATGCTACCTCTTTCTTGAAACTCTTGGCTTGTTGATCATGTTTCTCCTTTTCTTTAGTCTTCTGCAATCTTTTCATTCATCTAGCCTTCTCAGTGTTATTTTGGCTAAACTGTGTTGCTCATTCACCTTTTTCCCTTTCTGTCTCCCTTTCTTGATCTCTCTCTCTCTCTCTCTCTCTCTCTCTCTCCATATGCTAATATCCAGACCCATGATTTTCACATGATAACTACACTGATTCATATTCAGCCTGACTATACACATCTCCTCATGGATGTTCCACAGACATTTCAAACTGAGCATGTCTAAAATTAAATTCATCATTTTCTTCTAATTATTCTATGTTCCATATTTTGTTGAAGAATGTCACCCCTTACCAATTCAACTGAAAGAGAAGCCCAGGGATAATCTTAGACTCCTTCTCTTACTTCCCTCTCCTTGCCTGTACCCTATCCTCACCCCTCTCCAATCAGTTGCCAGGGTTATCTTTGGCATCCACCTTCTCTCCATCTCTACTGCCACCATATGAAATCAAAATCTGTCATCCCTCACCAGGAACAGTGCCCTAGCTGCCTGCCTGGTTTCCCTGTCATCAATCTGGCCTTCTAATCCATGCTTCACACATTCCAGAGAGTCTTTTAAAATGCACATCTAAGCATAGCACACACCTGCTTAAAATCCCTCAGATGCTCAGTGGAGCCTGCAAAATAAAATCACCTTTGCTGCATCATCTCTTGCCATTCTCCCCCACCTTCTCCCCAGCCTCAACATTCTGGCCACACAGAATCACTGGAGTGGAATGGAGTGGCAAAGCTGACAAATTATGATATCCAAATGGCCTGGGCTCAAATCCCAGCTTGGCTTCTTATTA